ATACTTCCTCAGGAAATTACTAGAGAATGCTGCATGAAAAGGAACAAATAAAATCAGGAAAGAAAAGGATGCAAAATCCAAGGATTCGTATGACAGAGTTGCGTAAAAAAATCTAAGCAGAATAATCAGAATTATATTTTTATTTTATTTGTGCTAACTCTGGGCTTAAATTCAGGGCCTGGGCACTATACCTGAGCTTTTTTACTCAAGATTACCAATTTATCACTGGAGCCACAGCTCTACTTCTGACTTATTTTGGATGGTTAGAAATAAAAGTCACATGAATTGTACTGCACAGACGGGCTTCAAATTGCAGTCCTCAGATCTCATCCTCCTAAGTAGCTAGGATTACAGACATGAGCCACCAGTGCTTAGCTTTATGTTTAATTCTAATCAAAATATAATTTATGCACATGCAAAATACCATGGTGAAACCATGTGATACACGCTAAAAAAAAATGGGTGTGGGGAATGACAAAAGTTAAACAGGCTCTGTTGAATGGTGGGGATCAGTGAGAGGTGAATGGAGAGGGTAAATAAGAGAAAATATACATATGTAAAAACAGAATAATGAAAATTGTTAAAATTCTTTAATGAAGGGAGGGAGGAATAAAGGAGAGTAATAGAGCAAGATAAGGTTGATGGACTACATCATATACATATATAAAAATATCACAATTAAATGCAACCCCTCACATTGTTATAAATGTCACCCTCCTTGTATAAGTAATGTATATTAATTAAAACTTTAATTGAAAGGAAATGTATATTCATTAAATGAATTCATTAGGATGTATATTCCCTAAAATCCAAATATTAACTTGATTTAATGTAAGGGTTTCCCTAAAGCTAGATGGAGAATGACAGAAATAGATGAATGAGAAAAGTTGTTTTATATAGATACATATTTCTTTTTTCTTTTTTTGGTTGGTCATGGGGCTTGAACTCTGGGCCTGGACGCTGTCCCTCAGCTCTTCAGCTCAAGGCTAATACTCTACCACTTAAGCCACAACACCACTTCCAGTTTTCTGGTGGTTTATTGGAGATGAGCGTCTCATGAACTTTCCTGCTTTGCACTGTGATCCTCAGATCTCAGCTTCCTGAGCCACCAGTAACCGGCTTACATGCATATTTCTAAGAGGGAAGCTCATGGAAAATAAAAGACTTAAAAACTTTCATCTTTGATATTGAAGTCAATAGGTAATACAGAAAAAAATGAAGATTTAGCAATCAAAATGTATCAAAAATATAAAGGGAAATATAACTGTTAAAATGTAAAAGTAACTATCTCTGAGGAGTAAAAAGTATGGAGAACTTGGAAATTGCAGGGTTTTGTGTTATAGTGTGGTACTATATGATTTTTAAAAAGCTATTGATCTAAGCTCTGAAAGACAAACAGCATGTGTTTTCTTTCACATGTGGAAGCTAGACCTAATACAGGACTTCAGACATTCACACACAGTGAGACCAAAAGAGGATACCCTTAGAAGAACACAAAGGTATAACACTTATATGCATCTAATCATATAAAATAATATTTATCAAAATTAACTCCAGGAAATGAAAACAAGAGGTCTTTTTCTTTGTTGCTATTTTTGTTGTTTTCTTATTTGTCTTTAGGAGGATGGGGGGGGGGAACGACACAGAAATGGAGGGACAAAGGGTAAAAAAATGCAACAGTGTTATTCACTAGACATGATGTTGAAAATAAACCACACAATTTTGAGTAGAGATGGGAGGGGAAAATGGAGAAGAGTGAGAGGAGGGATGATATTGTGCAAAAAAAAAAAATGTATGTTTTATCTGAATTATGCAACTGTAACCCCTCTGTACATCACCTTTATGGTAACAATTTTTAAAAAATTAAAAATTACTGAAATGAACTCTAGGAAATGGAAGCTAGGGTTTTTTCCTTTGTTAAAAAATAAACTATTACTATATATTACTTTCATAAGAATAAAGTAGCATTAAACAAAAATATCATTGGGGCTAGAGTTTAGTTTTATTTTTTTTTCTGGTTCTTTTTCTAGTTCTTTAACTGAAACTTGTTTTCATAAGTTCATTCAAAGCTATGAGTTTTCCTGGAATACATTTGTGTCCACATCCTTTGTTAGTGTTCTTATTGTCATGATTTTTAAATAATATCGAATTTCAAGTTTTTATCCTCTTTTGATTCAAATGCTATTTCAAGTACATGAGTATTTTTTTAAACCTGATTATTAGTTTCCAGTTTTATATCACTTCAATAAAAGTTGTATCTTGTTTAAGCTTGAAATGTTCAGAGCAATTTAGCATATAATCAGATTTTTATAAATATTTCATGACATTTGGAAATTATCATATATATTTAATATGCATATTGTATATAGAGATATACATGTTGTACAAAGGGGTTTCAATTCAACATGTCAGTGTATGACTACAATTATAATTCTCCCTATCCCCTCAATTTTCCTAGTTCCATTTTTACATGTATATATTGAATATTATGACTGCATTTCTCCACCTTTCCTTTTTCAAAATCATCTTTGATAGCCTTTTGCTGTTGGTCTTGGACTATCTGTAAGCCCCTGTTTCTACTCTTCCTGAAGTACTTTTTTTCCATTCCTTTTGGGTTTCTATGTCCATACTGAATTGGCTATGTATTAGTGATCATCATTTTAATAATGCAGAATTCCCAAGTTTTCTAGTTCATGGTAACTTCTGCCATGGCAGGAACATTTTTCTTCTTAATTTTACACGTTTTTATATCAATAGAATTTTTTGAGGGATGAAAGGAAAAAAATCATGTGCTCCAAGTATAATAGCATAGCATGTAAAAGGCAGTCTTGAAAACTGATGAGTTAAGTTTGAATTCTAATTCTACCACTTTTTTGTTGTAGAACCTTGAATGCATCACTTATCTCAGAACTTCTATTTCCTCATATAACATAAGCATGTTAAGAATAGTAAATGATGAAATGCACTGATTATATTGACTGACAAGTAGTATAGCCCAATAAACATTAGCTATTGTTGTTGCAATATAAACTCTGGTCTGAATTTCTTATTATCTAATGCCAAAATAAATAAATAAAGCAATATTTCTACCACAATCTCATCAAATAAAAAAATAAACATGCATATGCTTGACAACTTCAGTGATCTAATCACAGCACTACAGCCTAATCTCATTATTATATTTGATTAGTTGACATTTCTAATCTGTCTGCTCTACAAACAACACTTAAACAATCAAATATATACTTAAAAGAATGACAAGTGAAGACTTAACCATGGATGAACAGATAAGCTAATTGTTGTATAAATACAATGGAGTATTATTCATCCTTAAGAAGGAAGGATAGAGGCTGGGAAGGTGGCTCAGTGGTAGAGCGCTTGCCTTGCATACATGAGGCCCTTGGTTCGATTCCTTGGCACCACATAAGCAAAGAGAAAAAAAACTGAAGTGGCGCTGTGGCTCAAGTGGTTGAGCGCTAACCTTGAGCTGAAGAGCTAAGGGACAGCGCCCAGGCCCAGAGTTCAGACCCCACGACCGTTACCCCCCCCCAAAAAGAAGAAGAAGGAGGAGGAGGAGGAGGAGGAGGAGGAGGAGGAGGGATAATCTGATTTGTGCTATACCATATGAATATTTTTTGTTCATATGGGGCAAGAGGAGGAACTGAGGTTTTAATTCAGAGTCTCATGTTTGCAGGTTGCTTTGCTTGCCCAGCTGGTGCTCTACAATTTGAGCTATGCTTCTAGCCTAACTTTCTAAAAATTATTTTGGAAATGAAGTCTTATGGGCTTTTCTGATAGCTTTAAAACATGGCATTCTATATCCTAGCACTAGGAGTAGCTAGGACTACAGGCATGAACTACTAGCCCCCAAGACATTATGCTAATAAGCTGGACACTAAAGGACAAATACTGTACAATTCCACTTAAATGTCTCATATAAATGGAACTATATGTACAACCAGGGTCCTAGCAGCATGGTACGAATGGTCCAGCACTGCCAAGCATGCATAGGTCTCTTGAGTTCAATCCCTAGTACTGTCAAAAAAAAAAAAAATAGTTGCAGAAAGAATGATGGTTTTTATAGGCCAGTGGGAGAGGGCAAATGGGCTGTTGTTGCTCACCAGGTACAACGCTTCAGTTATGCAGGATAAAAGTATTCTGTTGATTGACTACACAATATGACTGTATTTAAATCTACTGAAGTATACATTTAATAGTAGTTAAAATGGTTAATTCTATGTTTTGCATATTTTACCACCATGTAAAAAGTACCAAGTACCTCAGTAGTAGCCATTCTATGTTTAATTTCATATTCTACTATTTACAAGACCACAATATTGTGGGAATTTGTCATAAGGCTAGACATGTCATTCATTTTGTTTGGAGGACAAACATGAGCTTTCTGCTGTCTCAGACATTAGGACCTTAAGAGGTAAGGATGGGGTTACTCATACTTCACCAATTAATTGTTTTGTTCTAAAAAGTGAACAGAGACATAGAAACAGTAGAAGTGTATAGTTCTACTTGAATAAATCTACCTGAACAAAGAAATCATCACACAGAAATGTCTTTATATAGAACTGTATTAACTTACAGATAGCAGAAAGAGAATGCCTATAGAAACTACAGAACAAATGGAATATTATTCAGTGACCAACAATGATTCATAGGAATGAAAGTGTTAAAGCTGTTTATCTAATAGGTGCTTTTAACTATGTATAAAGTATGTTCTATAAAGATTAGAAAAGGACATTAGCAATGTTAGGAGTTTATTTTAGGTAAGTATGAATAACATCTCTCCTTGTCTTTACTTTCTATACTTTGCAAATATTTTCAATCTGTTTTTGCTTTCATAATACATTTTTCTTCTTACATGCTGTTACAATTCAGCCCTTTAAAAAAACTAAATGTATATTATTACATTGTAAAATACCCTTACATTTAAGAAATAAGTAGTAAACAAAGAATGAAAGTTTCCGATTTTCTTCCCCGTTACTCACATTCTCAGGTATGCTGGGAAGCTCTCGGGTGTCAGGCACCGTAAAGTAAGAATGCTGGAAAACAAAAGCAAAAGCGCTCTATATACATATGTATTTTTTATTAATTTTTTCCTAGAATGTATAACAAGGACATAACTCAGAATTTAGGTAAATGGTCTTAAGATACCTCCTGACTCTGAGGATGTACCCATGGAATATTTTCTTAGAGTAGTGTCAGATTAAACCAGATGAATTACATCATCAGTTTGGTAGTTAGTGCCATTTTGGATTTATATAAGAAGAACTCAGAGTTTAAAAGTCAATTTCCTGTGTGATATTTAAGAGTTTCTGAACACATGAAAGCCACAGGTTGCATAATTTATTGTTGGACAGGACAAGTGACCTGTAGGGACACACTGCAATGATATTACCATCTGAAGCTATCATTTCTTTTCAACAAATGAGATTATATCCATCTATAGACTGGCCACAAAATGACCTGGTGATGTTAAAGACAGCTCCAGCTGAAGGCCCATTACACTGAGGCTACTGTGGATGGCTGTCAATGGAGAGTCGTCTACTACCAGTGGGATTTCCAGGAATCCCAGGAATTGGCAAGAATGGTGGAAAAATTGACCTCTTCAAAGACTTCCAATGAGGGAACTCCATGTACATAGCAAGCATGTGTTCCTGAGTTAAATGACAATGGACTGAACAGATGACACCTCCCCTGCTGCTACTAAAGACTCAGAGGACAATGGTAAGCAGGATGGAAAAAGCTCAGTGCTGACCAATTAAAGGTGGGATTGTGAAAGGCCAGGAAAGGTCAAATGCAGAGAGATTCAGCTTAGCCATGGCCTAAGTTCAAACCTGGACCCCCAAGTGACATTTCAGGAAGCTCTTCCCCGCCCCCTATTCCTGGTTAATTGCACAAGTAGGTCTCTAAAAGAATGAATTGTAGTAGCTTCCTAAAATGAAAGGCCTATTAGACAATTGTAAGAATGACAATAATAACAATTATATAAGCTACTTGCCTAATATCCAATAGTCATTTACTGAACAACTTTTATATAGAAAAACTTTATATCAGGTACTTTATAAATATTGTAACCTCTAATCTACATAATACATTTAGGTAGATATGATCTCCATGTCACAAAAGGATATATTAAGGTCACACATGTGGCAGAAATGAAACTGAAACCAGGCCTATATAAGTAGAACTATGCCCTTTCTCCAATAACAGAATATTATCTATGTGTTTTTCATATGTAAAGTAGTAATGGAATTTGAATTAAAATAAAAGTAAAAACTTACCAACAAAGATTTTAAGAAAAATCTACAGCAATGTATTATTCTAAGTCTGTGTACCTATAATACAATAGCACTTAAAAATGCCACAGTAGATGATGCATCAGGGAAACTAGTTAATAAACAGTTCAACTAACAATGAGAAGTAAAATAGGAAAAGTAAAATGCAAAACTGAAATTTGACTCCATGAGATATATACCAAATGGTATCTTTCTATACCAAACGGTTATAATTTCAGGACCAGATGTCCATTAAATTATGGTATCACTAAGTAGCAGCTTGGTACAATGAGAGGGAAAGCTCCCCCTAGAATTTGCCACTAAGTACCTCGGTGAACTCAGGCAACTTGATTTTAGTGGCATAGAATCTGAATTTGATTTGTAATTTAATATGAAATTGTTCTCAACTGCTTTTATGCATTTCCACTATTCTCAACCACTCACAGGGAAATATTCTCTTATAACTAAAGAATAAGAAGTCCAACACTGATGGCTTATTAATATTTTAGGATTTATATAATAGATGTGATTAGCCCTTCAAAATCAGAAAAGCAATTTGGGGAGATGAATTCCTAGTGATGAGGAAAAAGAGAAATCTGTCTTTCCAGATGCAATTGATTGTAAATAGTAAGCCAATGCAATTCCAAAATCAAGTAGTCCTCGGGCTGTCCTTTGAGATTTTGTCTTGCTCCACTGGCCATGAAATGCTGGGGACCAAGGGAGGTCACAAGCATTCCTAGAATCCACTGGCATGAAACAGCTGCACATCCAACAGTCCCTCTAGCCCTGAGCTGGCTTGTCCTTGGGGCCTGGTGGCATGCTGCTGGTGTAGCCATTCAGGGAAGGAGTGGTCCTTCTTCCCCAGCAGCTGGCAACCCAGCTGGGCTTCTCTACAGCTACCTGTCGGATGGCATTACAGGCTGAAGCAGTGAGATCAAACTGTTTAGGAAAAGGGACAGAGACAAAGACAGATCTGTTTAGCCTTAGGGATGACTGGGGCAGGTCTAAAGCTCACACTGGTTTTTTCCTAGACTGTGTTTTGCCATGAGAATTTTTGTACAAAGGTTTTTTTACTTCCTAAAGAATTCCCTCCCTCCCTATATCCCTTCCTCCTCCTTCTCTTTTCCTTTCTTTCCTTTTTTAAAACTTCCTTTTCTTTCAACATCTATGGAATAATAGAAAGAACACACATTCTAAAGTAGCTGTTAAAAACCCAAACTTTACTATTTGTTAGCCACAAAACTTTGGAATGGCAAGTAGTTTTATCTTTGTAAATCTGACAGCTATGAAATTAAACTGTTAATATTCATTTTGTAAAACTGTTTTGTATATCAGAGATACATAGTATAATTTATAAACTTAAGTAGCAGCTCTATTATTAGTTGTTTGTAAAGATGGCATTCAATTTTATCATCATTCTGAAAATATTGATAAGAAATATTAATTTCCCTAGAGAGGTGGATATCTTCCTAATCATTGAATGCCAACATTATGTGAGGCTCTAATGACAGAGAAAATTTTGGAAGAGAAAACTTTGTGAACAGTCAGGTCAGGACTCACCACAAAGAGGAAAGAACTTCTGGATAATAATTGATACTAGGCCAAAGGGTGTCCACCTGGGAATTCTGATAAAGATAGTGACAGGGTTCAACTCAAAGAATTAATAGAATTCTAAGAAATGAATTATGGAAAACATCCTTTATACCTACTCTGATTCCTCATCTGACAGATGGGGAAAATGAAGTCAATAAGGCTAAAGGTCTTGATGTCACACAGATGATTGGCAAACAGACAAATCGGATCAAAATTTCTCAACAGGTTATGTGGAGAATTTTCTGCTTTAGCACACTACAAAACACCTGACATAGAGCAAAAACCTCAGAAACCATCACTATTGAATGCCAGGAACTATGCAAGGGATGTACAGTTCAGTTAAGACCAAAAAATAGATTATTCCATCACAGTGGAACTAAGTCCTGTGAAGTATATTAAATGCATGGGGCCAAGGAAAATGGCCAAGCTCAACCTGAATGCACAAGGGAGGATTTCTCTACAAATAGAATCAGAATTGATTCTGAAGGGTATAAACAGGTTACCTGGCAAATAGGAGAGACGATGCTGAAAACTGAGGGTACAGAATGAATTTAATCAGTGAGAGACAAGAAGTAGTGCTGGGAGGGGGCAGGGGCAAAAGGTGAGACAGAAAGCCCAGGACAAGGGCAGGAAGGGTGCAGTCATCCTATTCCAGCCCAGCATCTGTGATCAAGATGCTAGTGATAGGATGATGGCCAGAAACTAACCTGGGACATTTAGAAACTATCTGCTCCCCATGGAATCTCAGAAAGAAAAGGAAGACTCTGAGGTCTGCCACCAGTCAGTAAGATCTCAGACTATTCAGGATAGGAGTGGGGGAAGGGTGAGAATGACAAAAGACCTTCCTCTTTGCCAGCTCCCTATGACTGTTTATAACAAAATGCTTTCTACAGGGTAGCTACTATTTTGTCCTACTTACCACACTGAGATGAACAGACACGCCTGGGTCGGGGATGGGAAGTCTGTGCAGAGTTTCGAGAAGTTCATTCCACTGACTTTCCTGAAAGAAATAAAAGGCCTAAATAACAAAAGGCTGTTCACCTACAGGGTGAGTTGGGAACCCCCACATGACAGAGGGGGTTGGGAGATGCTGGCCCCAGCACAGGAATAGGTTTGATAATCAAGTAAGGTTGGACCAAAGACATTGCATATGGCTCAAAACCTAAGCGCCAAGTTGATCCTCCCACATCTAGCTTGACATTTTCTACTCACTGAGACACCTACCATTGACCGCCTTTTATGGATCATATACCATAAGCTCTCAGTAAATCTATCCCCTCAACTCCATAGCAACAACTTTCAAATGCAAACAATTTGAGCTCCCAGGCGGGGGTGGTTGGGAGAAATAACGATGACACTGTGGATCTTGTCTTCATCATCATTACCCTCAATTAATTTTATTGTGTGTTCACTGGGTATACACATGGCAGCCTCCAATTATGGAAAGTTAGAAATGAACTAAGTACAGCAGCATGCAATATATGATGGTGGCTGTGCATTTTAATTAGCCAAACTGAGCAACAGAATGGCATACAGATTTACCTTTAAAATGTTCAAAAGAACACTGCTCACAAATGATCCAAAAATCATTTATTTCTCTCACTCCTCCATACAATTCTTTGTGCTAATAGTAATAAATTTAACTGGTATCTACTTGTTAACTGTCTGATCCTTCCAATTATCCCACTTTACAGATGTGAAGGCTAAAGCTCTAAAAGTTGAAGCAACTGTCCCACATTAGACAGTAAGTTACATGGCCTGAGGTTAAACACAGGATTGTTGAGTCTACGCTCACAATCCTCTGCCTTTGGCAGTGAGCTTGGCAGGAAAAAGAAGAGTCCTGACTATAAGCTAATTTCAATCTGAACTCTTACAACCAATTTCTCACAAAGAATACATGAGCTATGGATGTGTGCTGTGTGTGCATAGTTGAATTTTTTTCCCCATTTTTCTTTGTTAGTACTGGGGGTTGAACTCATGGCATACTACTTGCTAGGCAGGTGTTCTACCACTTGGGACATATCTCTAGTTCCTTTTGGCACTGATTATTTATACTGGACTAGTCTGGACTACAATTTTCCTCCTTGTGATTCCTCATGTTGCTGGGGATGATAGGCAGATGTATGCCATTTGACCTAGCTATTGTGCTTCCTTGTTCTTGGGTAAAAGGTGTACACCACTGTGTCCAGCCACTGGTTGAGATAAAGTCTCAAGAACTTCTTTTTGTCTAGGCTGATCCTGAATGAACACCTGCCCTCACTCCACATAGCTTGGATTACAGGATTGAGCCTCTGTACTAAGGCTACAGTGTGTTTTAGTTTTGCTTTGAAACAGTCTCAAATTTACCAGAGTTGGAGGAACAACAAACAAACAACCCATTTCATTTCCTGATACTTCAAGTTTCCTGATAGCATGCCCATCATCCAAATAAAGACTTTCTCCCATACAACAGGAAATTAAACTTGGTTCGGTATTACCATCTAATCCTCACATCCCATCACATTTTGCCAGCTGTGTTACTGATGTCCTTACAGCACTCAATCTAGCTTACAATCACTTACTGCCTTTAGTAATGATGACTCTTTAGTCTTTTTCCATCTAGAACAGCTCATCTGTTTCTTAAATCTGTTTGACTTTCACAAGGAGACTACCCCATTTTGTAGAATGATTCTCAACTGTCTTGTTTCCTCATGATACAAATTACCATTTGTTTGTTTATTGACAATGTTGGCTTTCATCACTTGAATAACTGATCTAATGTCACTATTGTGACGTTATTTTGTATTTAAAATATTTAATTTAAAAGTATTCTAGCTAGGTGCTGGTGGTTCACACCTGCCCAGGCAGGAAAGTCCAGTCCATTTTATCTCCAATAAAGTACTCAGACAAAGCCAGAAGTGGCACTGTGATTCAAGCAGTAGAATGCAAGCCTTGAGCAAAAGACGCTCAGGGACAGTGCCCAGGCCCCAGAGCTCAGGCTCCAGGACCAGAAAAGGAAAAACAAACCAAACCAAAAACAACATGATTCCATAGAGTGAGACTTTAAGTAAACATACCATCCCCGCTTTCAGTTTATCCATTTACTTATTTCAATTACCATAGATACAAGGTTTCCAGCTTATCCAGTGGGATAAAATGCTATCATTATTTGTCTTGATGCTTGTAGGGGACACCGGTCGGAACCTCTTGGCATTTCAATATCATTTCTGTGACTTAATGATATGTTCTCATCATACTCTAAACATTTCCTCAATTTTTGGTGCAAAAATTATCTCATGCTCCTCTTACACATTCTCTGACCAGTCCTGGAATCAAGTATTTCCACAGGTAGCCCGATAACTACTCATGAGGAGTAAGTAGTATTTAGAAACTAAAATCTGGATACCAGGTGTGTTTACTGGTTCTTACAATTGCTGATGCCAAGCCTTCTCAGTGGGCAGAACCAGGGAATATATTACACACACACTAATCCCAAATCAACTCTTAACATTTCTATTTCTCTATATCTTCACATACTGAAAACCTTGGGTTCACACTGATTGCTTAAAATCTAATATAACATAGAACTCATCCCTTTATGTATCTGTGATTACATTTTACAAAGTGAAAACTGTTACTTATTTTCATATAAAAACTTTGTCCTATTGCTGCCTCTGTCTTCTTCCCACCCAGATGCCTATCTTGCCCTCCCTGACACTGACACAGAAAACTGGACCTTCACTGTCCACCACTCACAGTGTCTTTCTCTCAGGCCCCCGCAACCCAGCTCAAGGCCACTGCTGCTGCCTTCTTAGTGTTTTGGATCTCTCCAGATCCCACTTGAGTTCTGACAGTCCTAGAGTCACTATCCCTCACTCTCCCATGTGTAAATTCTCAACCTTCCTCAGGCTTATACCATGAGTAGGGTGCTGCCCAGTTTAGAAACCCTCCTCACCCTGCCATCCCTCACACAGATGCCTGCCTTACTCCATTCAACATCTCATAAACATGCTGGGGTAGGAGTCAAATAGTCCCCTACTCCAGGCTCCAATGCCCCTTGTTGAGCTGTCATTGTTACACAAAGAGAAATCTACCTTGCCCAACCTTCCCAATGACTTTTAGATGAAAGGTTTTTAGGTTAGAGGTATTTTATGGTCTTTTTATTTTGTTCTTTTTAGAGGGCAGGAATTCTGTTTGGGGCCTCTACTGTCCTATGCTGATGATCAAAACAACTTACAAAGAAGCCAGTTTTAGGTAGATTTTCTACCTTTGGTGTCATCATTCCTCTAACCAGAAGAAAGTACAGTGTCATGGGTTCAGAAGGAATAGGTTCTAACCAGCTAAGCTGTATTTCTGATCACAGGTTCTAGCATGCTATGAGACAAAGGCATTGCTAGGGCAATGATCCAAAGGAAAGGTGCACCAATTCTACATAAGTCACCATCTGGCCTCCTCTTGACCTATTCCTTTAATCAGAAAAAAAGTTAATACAGAGTCCTGGGCTCCAAAAACAAGTTGTTAGAAATAGTTTCCAACAACTTTTATGACAGATTTCCTGATGCCTAAGCTTCTTTGAAGAGTGAGTATAGTGATCGAAAGAGCCATTTTTATTAGTTATTCTTTCCTTTCACATGACCTCTGGAATGTTTGTCAGTAAAAAAAAAAAATCCACTTAAAGAAAAGATTTATATTTATACATACAATTTCCACCTTTTCTTTGAAATACTATTTCCTAAAATGTGTTCTAGCAAACTCAGCTATGTCAAAATGTTATTTGCCAAGGAATAAAAAACGGAGTTGGATAAAAAAAAAACTGATGAGATATTTGTCAATAGTGTGTAATAACAACTTTAAAAACAAGCAAATTATTTTAAAAATTAGTTACATACATGGATAGTCAATTAATTTATACTTAAAGAAATAAAATTAAGACAATGCTTTTTAAACTTAGTAAATTCAGCAAATAATACTGGTGAAAGTATTTGTAACCCAAGCACATCAAAGTATAATTATTATACTGCCATGAATGTTATTTATAGTATTTTACTTATTTATTTTTTGTGCTGGCCTTTGAGCTTGAATTCAGGACCTGGACACTGTCCCTGAGCTTTTTTGCTCAAGGCTAGCACTCTACCACCTAAGCCACAAATCCAATAATGGGATTTTTGGCACTCAATTGAAGATAAGAGTTTTAGCTTCCTTCAGCTTCAAATCAGGATCCTCAGATATCAGTCTCCTGAGTAGGTAGGATTACAGTCATGAGCCACCAGCATCTGGCTTTACAGTATTTTTAGTAGTGTGGAGAAATGATTCTGTTACAATGGTATTGAACACATAGAACACAAAAATCTAAATACATATCACATTAATCTTTGACATGCATGAAATTGAACTTAGCACACTATTTCTTCCAAAAGTACAGCAAGGTACAGGTGAAGTAGTACTTTTCAGACCATTACAAATATTGTAAAAGCACCACAATGTGTTCTCAAAATCGGAATTGGGCCACTAGGTAGTAACTCTCTTAACTTTCCAGTCAAGTATGTTGCTTGCAAACCTCAGACTTAGAGCATGACATGTACAATTCAAATTTGTGTCTCAGCAATATTATTAGTTAATGCATGCCATGAATTTTCAGGGCTGCTTAGGAATATTAGACAATATTACAACTAATATTATGATTATAGCTCTCTATATTATAAAAGCCATATATTAGTACTTTTTTATTTTTCCTTCTTTTTTGTCAGTTGTGGGGATTGAACTGACGGACTGGATGCTATACAGTGGTAGGCTAAGTGCCTACCACTTAAGTCACAGCTCCACTTCTGGTTTTCTGGTAAACTGGAGAAAAAGAGTCTCACAGACTTTTCTGCCTAGGCTGGCTAAGGTTACAGTCATGAAACACTGGTGTCCAGCTTCATATATTGTTTCATTAACTCAAAAAAAATTAGTAACAAAACAACCCAAAATGCTAGCAATATTTATTTTAGGAAAGAAGATGGAGCAGATTAGAAGTGATTCCCAATATCTTCTGAATTTCTTAACCTTTCTATAAATATTTTGGTGAAAAATAAGATATGCATTATTTTTGTTGTCATAAAAATTAAAGTTTACTTGTTAAAAGCAGAAAATGAAAATACCTGTCTTTTTGTCGTATAATCTGCCAGGATGTTAAGTAGTTTGTAAAATACCTCGAACCAGGGAAGATAGCTGGGGGGGTAGGGGGGAGAAGGAGAGAAAAAAAAACACAAAATATTAGTATACAGGTTAAAAACATGAGCCACGACCTACTTCAAGACTGATATATTTCAGTTTTTTTTTTTTCTACATTCTAAGACTCTTGTCATAGATTGTTCTGGAAACTCAGATAGGTGAAATGCTAATTATTTCTGGGATTTAAAAAAAGTGCCTTGTGTGAGGCAGTGGATTTAATGTCCCTTATGAATTATTCCCACACCTCACACTAGACTAGGTTCACAGAGAAGAAATTCAGAGCAAAATCTGCAATTAGGCACCAGCTCCGAGTAACCCCCAGGTCCTCAGCAAAGCACTGCTTCAGTAGCTCATGATTGGGCACATAGAGCCACACATACCATGCCAGTGCAGGCATCTGCAAGGTACCTCACAAGCTTGACCTACCTATTTTAAGCCAACTTGCAGGATGAATGTTCAATTGTCCAGCTCACTGCCTCGAGCAAATCCTGGCCATTGCTCCCTTCAATCCCAATGTTGGCCTGAAGTCTACCCTTTTCACGTGGTTGTTGGAATTGGCTTTCTAAAATGCAAGTCTGGTTCCTCATTACTACAAGATCCAGCTGTCCACATGTCTTAGGGTAGTTTATAAGTCCTTGACCACCTCTCCGGCTATCCTTTCTACTTCACCATCTCCCTGCTCCTCTCATGGCAGCCTCACTATGGGAACATCCAGGTATTTTCAAGCCTGCTGAGCTAGTACATCTCAGCCCTTGCTGCTCACTGACCTTTTAATTTCTGCTTATCCTCCTGACAGCCCTTTACACCTCCCTGTCTTGGCCTCATGTGCCTTATTTTCCTTTCTGGGCTGCCCTGGCCACATTACTACTTCTGTTATAATACTTCCCACACAACGCAGCACTCAAGGTGTACTTGTCTTCTCAACAGACTTGGCAAAGAGAGGAAGGAATACAACTTTATTCCCTTTGTCCTCCCACTGCCAAAAAAGGGAGCCTAGTACACAGTCAGTGTTCAACATTTATTGAACAATACAAGCAGATAAAGACTAGGGAATAGCAAAGACTCCTTAGTACTTAAGGAAAGCTTGTTGAAAAGTATCCCCAGTCAAGAGGTTTGCCACTTGCATTAAATGGTTCTATTCTCTATAAGGGTTTTTTCCCCCAAAGCTTTGCTTAATAGGCACGTGAGAAGTGTCATACTAAGTGCTTGCTGTGTCTGCTCATGTCTGCCCTGCTGAGCGAATGGCGTCGTTACTGATAGGACTGGACCTAAGGCAGAGCACAGATGTGACATGCTGCCCGAGAGGGGGATCAGCACCCTGTACAGATTACTGCTGGGCAGCTGAGGCTAATAAATGAAGTGTAAGGCAATAGAGAGGACAGATAAAGTGCACAAACTCCTATCAGTGACTGCTGTCTGAAGCCAGCACATGCTACTGTAAAATTTAAGTAGTTTATCAAAATATACTGATAAGCAACTTAACTTTTCACTTCTATGACAGTATTATCACTTAAGTTAATATGTTTCCATCAGCTCTGGCAGCTGCATATGGACTGTTCTGAAGTAGATGGCTGCTGCCACTCTCCACAGCACTGACTCTGGCAGAGCAATGTAAACATTCAAGAGGGATTAGGCAAGAGATAACATGCTCCCTTCCTCTTTTGCTAATAAACCTCAGTGCGCTAAAAGCCATTAGAGTAGATCAAGAAACCCTCTCAGAAGAAAAGTCCTGCACAGATTAGAGGACTCTTAGTAAACAAATTCAAGCAAGGATTACAAATACTTCTCTTCCCAAAGGAAAAAATACTGCTAATTAAATCCAGCAATTGGAAATCAGGAGGAAGAAAAAGGGGAAGTAGAGGAAAGGCTGGCCTGGAGCAGAGGAAAGCAAAGCTGAGCTTGTTTTAGAACTAGAGGATGGGGGATGGGAGTGTGGGGGAGGGCAGGCTAGTTGTACAAGACTTTAGGACAAGCTTTGAACAAGTAGGTTCAACTGACAAACATGGCCTGGGCACAAAAGCCCAGCCTTGGCATTCTCACCTCTGAGCTGAAGGAAGGCAAGATAGCAGAGACCACAGGTCAGACCCACTCTTTATATCTGGCATCTGCCTCACCAATCCTTTTTTTGGGGGGTGGGGGGAGGTTGCACTAGGCAGAATCATTGGCAAGGGCATCGTTGTAGTTACCTTGGAAAACAGCTATTTCTTTCTCCCTTTAGCCTTACAGGATACAACTGTTCCCCACATGTGGTCCCTTGTGCACTGACAGATGAATATCTAGCCATGGAAGTGTTAAAGTTTTGAAACTAAACCCCAGCTGTCTTCTTCAAAGGGCCCCTACTTCCCCAGTTGGGAGGCCAGGGTTCACAGCTGAGCTGTGTCCACTGGCGTTTCCGGTCCTGCTTCATTAGTGCTGGCACCATGCCTGCAGGTGAGGACATGGAGTCCCCACTCCATTTTGCGTGTGTCTGTCAGCAATGAGTAAACAATACTTCCCAGTCTAGAGACAGGAAACAAATACAAAATTACACTGCTCCTCCCTGGCCACCTACAGGGCCCAAATCTATTGGTCCTGCTTCACTTACCACCCTCATATAATCATTTTATGTTCTGACCTCAAGGGACCATCTGCATGGCAGGCTCAGTACCAGTGCCACTGTACTTGTGGTCAGAATAACCATCCAACTAGGGCATGATTATGTATATGACTAACCTGTTAAATATCTACAGGAATTGGTTCCACTTTAGTGTCAGTAGCATTTAAATAGAAAATCCATCAAAATTTTTAAAAAGTTCTTTTATTTTTCTTCCTAGCAGTTCAGTACAATGCCTGAACCTGAGCAAAATAGAGGCATGGGGGCGGGGGGGTCAGTAACTAGGGTGGCTGAAATTGGCCAAATTGAGGAAGGGGTTGGTAGTAGAAGACAATCCTCCTCAGAGGGGCAACTTAGCCCAGGGTTAGAGTCCAAGTGGGTACGGAGGTGCCCTGCTGAGTGGTGATCTGGCATAATATATTGGTACACCAGAAGGAGAAGGACTTCTTGGAAGAAAAAAGTCTGAAATCAATCAGGATTAAAGGGATGATGGACACAGAGGGTGACCTGGGAGTGTCAGAACTCAGGACAGTCAAGGAGAAAGTTCATGTTGGGAAAAAGCATGTATATAGAATACAGAGTTTGACCAGCAATGATATTAACACCACCAAAGGATCAAATGGAGCATCTAGAAGGCAGTTCAGTAGGGATAGCAGAGCTTACTGAGAGGAGAGTGTCCATGAAAGGTGATCAGGAAGCATCTAAGCAATTGTAAAAGCTATCTGTAATGGGGGTATACCTCTACCCTGAACAGAGTGAGAAAAGCAGCTATGTCAGAAGAGGACTGCAGGAGACTAGTTACAAACAAGGGATGATCGAAATTGATTAAGCAAATAAATACACAGTGGGAACCAAGTATCTTAATAATCAGAGGTGCAAATTATAAATATGGAGAGAGAAAACAAGGATGAATCCAGGGACATCAACCTGGAATTGGATGTGACTATGTGAAATCATGTTGCTGAGTAAACAGACAGGTAGACAAGAATAGATAAATAAAACAAATACGAATACCAGTTGTACATATAGATTATACATATAGATTATACATATAGATATAGTCTCTAGCTTTAGCCACTGAGAAGCTTCAGAGTAGAGATGCCCCAACTGTAATAGCACACTAAGTGTCAGATCTTGGTTTCTAAACATCATTCTCCACTAAAGTAAGTAAACTAGAGATTCTTGAAGAACTAAGCCAGACCCAGAGAAACATAGGTTGCAGGATTTCCCTCATTTGTGGTAGTTAAAATGGACCTATAAATCTACAAGTAAACACACTGAGTGGTAAAACAAACAAACAAACACTGAGACATGGTAAATTATACAGGTCTCTAGGCATTCACACAAGGTGATACCAAAGAATACTATTCTTAGGAGAAGAACACAAAGGCACAATACCAATGTGCAACTGATCATATGAAATAACATTTATTGAAATGAACTCCAGGAAATGGAAACAGATTTTTTTTTCTTCATTGCTATTTTTGTTTTCTTTTCTTTCATTTGTCTGTCCTTGGGAGAGTAAGGGGGAAGGGACAGAAATGATGGCTCAAAGGGTGAACAAATGAAGCAGTAGTGCTCACTAGACACTATGTTGAAAATGAACTATACAACTTGTGGGTGAAGACAGGAGGGAAAAACTAGGAGACAGCAAGGGAAAGGGTGTCATGGTTCAAAAAGAAATGTACTGTTTATCTGACTTATGTAATTATAACCCCTCTGTACATCACCTTTATAATAATAATTTTAAAATGCATGAAGAAAAAAAAGAACTGTAATCTTCCCAGGCTGGAGTAAGGAAATAGATATTGCTAAATAGGGAAAAAGGAAACAAGCACTGCTCAACCAAGAGTCAGGACATACCAACAGGACACAAAAGCCAGTGAGAAGGGGTTCCCACTGACAAAAATCTATGAGAATTTGAGGATCAAAGTAAATAATGACAGGAGATTACACTAACATAGGAAATCAAGAGTCCATGCTGATATTCATAAGTAAATTGAACGTTTGACAAGGGATAGAGTAACTGACAGAGTCCCAAAGTATTTCTTCACTAACTATTCATTAATCACAAAGGAAAAAACAAACTAGAAGCCTCAGGATGCTACCTTAGTCAACTAACAAGAATCTGAAATGGTGTGAGAGTGGAGTGAGAATGGAGAAGGTGCGGTGGAAGAAAACAGCATCACTTCTATCACAGTTCTGTTAAAGGAGAAGCTCATCCTGAGGAAACATTGAATAAACTGAAGCTGAGAAGCATCTACAAAACAGCCAGCCCTGTTCATAGAGGAGGAAGCACTAAGGAACTGAACAAGACTGAAGGATACTAAAGAGACAAGAGATGACCAAGGATTACATAAGAATGCTGTATCAAAAAAAACTCGTTTTCTGCTTTTTTATGATG